GCCACTGGCAGCAAGCTGATCCTGTATGGAGAGCAAAAAGTTGAACTGCCCCAGACAGCTTAAACAGCTTATAGAATTGCCTTTTTTGCAGGGAGTTTCTCATTGTTGTTGTTGTTTGTTTTTGTTTAAGCCTCCTGCATTAGCTAACATCATCTGCTCTGTCAGGTAGAGCAGAGAAACAAGCATTTGGATTTCATATTGGATGTTTTTGGAAGCTTGACTCTTTTTTTTTTTTTTTTTTTTTGGTTTTACGAGACAGGGTTTCTCTGTTTTGGAGGCTGTCGGTCCAGCCTGGCTTCGAACTCACAGAGATCCGCCTACCTCTGCCTCCCGAGTGCTGGGATTAAAGGCTTGCGCCACCAACGCCCTGCGGGAAGCTTGACTCTTACCATGCCTTTCCCCAGTTAGACTTTGGTGGGAACTCTTTTGTGCATTTTGGGTTCTCTTTAAGTCATTTTTGGTGTCTGCCACTTGGTGACTAGCTTTATCATTCCTGGTTCATCTGAGCTGCTTCAGTTTTGGGCCTTAAAGCATGATGGCTCTTCAAGCATTTGGGTGTCTGGTGTGAGACAGAAGGCTTGGGGAGGTCTTCCTGGAGCACTGTGCTTCTCTGAGTCATCGTGTTGGATCATGGGCATGCCTCTTAAAGACACTGAGTGTTTTGCCTAAGTGTATGTAGGTGCACCAAGTGCATGCCTGATCCCAATGAGAATGTCACTGGATCCCCTGGAACTGGAATTTAGGACAGTTGTGAGTACCACGTGGGTGCTGGGAATTGAACCCAAATCCTCTGCAAGAACAAGTGCTCTTAATCACTGAGTCATCTCTCCAGCTCTTAATCACTGAGTCATCTCTCCAGCCCAAGGAATAACTTTATCTTATTCTCTTCCCCTGCCTCTTATGGTCTCATCTGCAGCATCTTTGATCCTATAGCTCCTTAGTGTAAATGACTACCTCAAATAGGATTTAGGGATGGTATCTTTACCTAGAGATATTTACTTGGGTTTTATCTTGTGGATTTCCTTGAAGATTTGCTCTACCTGTTATGACCTCTTTCTGATCATAAGACTTCTCCATTAGTCCAATAAGAAGGGGCAATAACTTCATAGTCAACTCTTTTCATATTGCAGTGAAAGGCACATGTTCAACCCTGAAAAAACCACTACATCATCACCTTCATTGATCCCTAAGCTAACTGGGCCCCCATCTTTCCTTGACCTGCTGGTGAACATGTGTTTGCACTCCACCTGACAACTAACTTTGTTTGTTGTAGATCGCTTGAAAAATGGAACCAGCTATGGAAATTCTTCCCAGTTTCTGCCACGGGCCTTTAGATCAACTACCAGCCTCTTCCATCATCCCCAACCAACAGAAGCAGTCAGATGGGTCTCATCCCTATCCGTAGTATCTTTAGGAACTCTCTCAAGTGAGAAATGTTAAACAGCAGTTAGCTAGATGAAGGGAGTAGTTGTAAGGCTCAAGAGTGTGACCATTCCCCTGTTTTTTGTTTTTGTTTTTTGTTTTTTTTGTTTTTTTTAATGACTAATGCATGGTCACCTCTCTAGTCATACCCAGGGAACATACATAGGTCAAGCAGACTCCTCATGATGTGCTCAAAAGTGACTGTCTTACTTAGGGCTTCTGTTGCTGTGAAGAGACATCATGACCATGGCAACTTTTTTTTTTTTTTTGATTTTTTGAGACAGGGTTTCTCTGTGGCTTTGGAGGCTGTCCTGGAACTCACTTTGTAGACCAGGCTGGCCTCGAACTCACAGAGATCCGCCTGCCTCTGCCTCCCGAGTGCTGGGATTAAAGGCTTGCGCCACCAACGCCCGGCTCATGGCAACTCTTATAAAGAAAAAATATTCAGTTTGGCTGGCTTACATTTTCAGAGGTTTAGTCCATTATCATCATGGTTCAACATGGTGATGTGCAGGCAGACATGGTGCTGGAGCTAATAGGCAGGCAATAGGAAGTGGTCTGTCATAGTGGGCAGGATCTTGAGCATAGAAGACTTCAAGGCCCACCCCCACAATGACACACTTCCTTCAGCAATACCATGCCTACTTCAACAAGGCCACACCTCCTAATAGTGCCACTTCCTTTGGGGCCATTTTCTTTCAAATCAACACATTCCACTTCCTGGTCCCCCGAAGACTTGTAGCCATATCATAATGCAAAAATGCATTCATTCCAACTTCAAAAGTTCCCATAGTCTATAACAGTCTCAAACTTATTTAAAGTCTAAAGATCAAAGTCTCTTCTGAGACTCATGCAATCTTTTAACTGTAATCCCCTGTAAAATCAAAATGAAAAAGCAAATCACATACTTTCAACATATAATGGCATGGGATATATATTACCATTCCAAAACGTAGGAAAGAGAACCAAAGCAAAACTAAAAACCAGCTGAGCAAATTCCAATCTCTGTATCTCCATGTCTGATGTTAAAACACTCTTCAGAACTCCAAGTCCATTCAGCTTTGTTGATTGCAACACACTTCTTTCTCGGGCTGGTTTCACTCCCTGTTAGCAGCTCTCCTCAGCAGGTAACCCATGACTCTGGCATCTCCAAAATCTTGGGGTCTCCAAAGCCATCCAGGTTTTAACTTCACAGCTTCACATAATGACCTCTCTATGCCTCCATTCAGGGCCTCAGCAGCTTCCCTTAGTCACAAGGGCAAATTCTTCTGCCCCTTTCTTGGGGAATAGTCTTTTTGTATACTGTAAGGCTGTGTCTCTGCTCTAAGGTGTCCTCAGATTGGTTTAATAAAGTGTTGAATGGCCAATAGCTAGGCAAGAGAGGTTAGGTGGGCCTTAATCTAGGCATGCAGGAGTCACCAGTGAGACATTGAAGAAATCAGAAGTACAGAATGGAAGAGTGTTGGGCCTAAAAAGGCCCAGACACAAGGCCTAGTGGAGTTTCCTGAGCCTAGCTAGAGTTTGGAGACTTGTCTCTGAACATCACTTCTGCATACGAGTGACTCAGCAAAACTGCCTCTGCCCAGCTACTGCTAATGTGGTGGAATATTATTGGCCCTTATACCTCACCCCATCCTGAGGTCCCCACCCACTTTCTCAACTCTATATAAGCACATGCCTGCTACAATAAAGCGAGACTCTGCTTTGACAGCTCTCCATGACTCAGTGTGGTTCTCTCTGGTGACTAGGAGGGGGGTCTGGGCCTTCAACACTCACCATCCTCCTCAGACTCGGGAAGTGACTGGCTGGACTGGTCCTTCCCACAGCCCTGACTGCTGGAGGACTTGGCAGAGGAGAAGTTAAAAGCTACAGTGGTAGAGTGTAATTAATAGAAACAGGTTAATTTAAGTTAGAAAAGCTAGTGGAACAAGCCTATGCTAAGGCCAGGCTTTCATAATTAAAAGTCTCTGTGTCATTATTTGGGAGCTGGTAGTGCAAAGAAAGTCTGACAATGCTTTCTTCTATCCTTAACTTTAGAACCAAGTGGCCAAAGCTGCCAAGTTCTGCTGCTTACTGGGACTGGAACGTGGCCCCTTGTTCAGTTACATCTTCACCAACTTTCTGTTTTTAGTAGTTTCCTTCACTGCCTAAGCTTGGCTGTTCTGGAACTTTCTCTGTAGACCAGACTGGCCTCTAACTGAGAGATCTACCAGTCTCTCTGCCTTCCAAGTGCTGGGATTAAAGGCCTGTACCACCATGCCTGGCCCTAAACTTTTCTTTAATTCCTTTTCACAAGTTGGAAATTTAACTGGATGGGATCTTGCTGAGGTCACCAGTCCCTTTTTTCCTTTAAAAGATTTATTTATTCTTGTATGTTATATATATGAGTGCTCTGTCTTCATGCACACCAGAAGCAATCTGATCCCACTACAGATGTTTGTGAGCCACAATATGGTTGCTGGGAGTTGAACTCAGGACCTCTGAAAGAACAGTCAAGTGCTCCTAACCACTAAGCCACCTCTTCAAGCCACCACCCCCTCACACCCCATCCATTTCTTAATCTATTTATCTCCTTGAATGTAGGACTTGGCTCCGTTCCACTTTTCTTTTCTCCTCAAATATTTTCCTTACTCAGCTTGCTCCCTTTCATTACAAAACTTCATTAGAGTTAACATTAGTAACCACACAACAGAGTCTACATGGCTGTTTTAAGATTTCCTTTGATAAGAGAATACATCCAAAACTCTTCACTTTAGCTTCAGACAAACTTTTTGGACAAGGGCAAAAAGCAGTCATATTCTTCACCAAAATATCACAAGAGTGATTTCTAGGCAACATACTAAAATTCTTCTCTGAAACCTCTTGAGCCATCCCCCCACGAATCAAATCACTCGTAACACCACCATCTTCATGCTCCTACTGATATGGCCCGTTAAGTAACACTTAAAGCATTCCACTGCTTTCCTAACCGAAACTCCCAAAGTCCCAAATTCCTCCAAACAAAAGCATAGTCAGGCCTTTCACAGCAATACCCCAGTCCCTGGTACCAACTTCTATATTAGGGTTTCTGTTGCTGTGAAGAGACTCCTTGATCAGAGCAAGCAGCAACTCTTATTGGGGTTAATTACGTTTTTGGAGGTTTAGTCCATTATCATCGTGGTGGGACATGGGTAGCATGCAGACACACATGGTGCTGGAGCTGAGAGTCTCTGGGTGAGCAGTCTTCAGGCCATAATTGAGAGGAGAAAAGACATTTTCTGTACACACTATCAGCATCCACACCAGACCAGCAAAAGCCTTTGCCAAACCTCTAAGCCTCATGGCAGGGGATGGGATGTGGCTCTTTCCCATGGGACTTGGTATGGTCATTCACACATCAGTAGCACACATTCTCAGGACTTCACTTGCTTGGAGCTTGAGGGTTAAGAGAGGGACACTTAGAAGTGTAGGGAAAAGAAGAAGCCTATATTAAATTTTCTTTTAGTGGGGGAATGGAGAAATGGCTCAGAGGTTAAGAGTACACTTACTGCTCTTGCAGAGGACTCAGCATTGACTCTCAGCACCCACGTGGAAACTCACAACCAGCTGTAACTCCAGTTCCAGGGGATCCAAGGTCTTCTGACCTCCTCAGGCACCAGGTATGTATATTGTGCACATACAAATGTACACGTTAGATAAATAAATCTTTAAAATATATGTATCTTTAAAAACTTTCAAACTCTGCCTCACAATGCTGTCTAATTGTGAAATTCAGCACCAATCCACAAGTCTCTGGGTCCCTAAAATCTAGGACAATGGTTCTCAACCTGTAGGTCATACTCCTTTGGCAAATTTCTGTCTCCAAAAATATTCACAACTCATAACAGTAGCAAAATTACAGTTATGAAGTACCAATGAAGACCATTTTATGGTTGGAACTGTATTAAAGGGTCACAGCATTAGGAAAGTTGAGAACCACTGGTTTAGGGGAGTCCCAGGCTGCTGAGGGAGGGTGACAGATGGAGTTGTGGCCCTGTCTCCGCAGTACTGACACTTGAAAAATTTTTTTTTCTTTATATTCACTTCACTGTGTCTTTTGGTTTGCTGAGAACAGGTAGTTAAAAGTGGCTTATCTGGGATGCCAGGAACTAGGCTCTTCACCAGTGTCTGTGTAAATGCAAAAAGTAAAGAATTGCTGGACAGGTAACTGGGCATGTGGTTTAATGGAAAGAGTGTGAGCATACCATGCAAGAAACCCAGGGTCCATCCCCAGAATCAGAGGAAGTGGGCAAGGTGGCACGCCTCAGGGTCTTAGCACTTGGTAGATGGGGGCAGGAGGATCAGGAGGCCAAAATCATCCACAGTTACTTAGATATATGTCCCATTCAAGGCCAGACTAGGCTTCATAGGGTCCTATCATAAGAAAGGAATTGATTGAGGGATAAAAATGAGCAACAGAAAATAATCCGTTTTAAAGAGAATTAACAGGAAAAATTATCCTTTAAACACTAAGGAACTGATACCAGAAAACAAACCGGTACACTTATACTGTCAAACAAATGATTTATTAAAAATAAATTCTGAAAGGCTCCAAATTTCAGGTGTGGGAAATAAGCAGATTTCATCAGAAAACCTCTGGTCAAATCCATACAAAAAACTATGTCATCAAGCCTCCATGCCTGGGTTTTGCCATGGAATCAGCGTGTCTGATCTATTATCCCTAAAAACACAAAATAAGATATTGTGTTAGTATAAATAAGACTAAGACTGGAAAGACTCTGGGTGGTTAAAAGCTGCTCTGCCAGAGGACCTGTGTTAGATTCGCACCACCCACATGGCACTCACTGCAGTCTATAACTACAGTTCAGGAAATCTAGGAAGGCTAGGACCTCTTCTAGCCTTCATGGGACCAAGGAATACACATAGAACTGACATACATGTAGGCAAAACATACATTGTGTGTGTGTGTGTGTGTGCATGTAACATATAGACCTATATCCAACTAATAATATGAAAAATAGCCCATCAATGATTGCACACAAAAATATGCATGCAGAATTCAGTGTATTTTTCAAAGGAAGCCATGGAAAGTAACTAACAGGGGTCAGCCCCCACCCCCACCCCAGGGGAAGCAGCCTCCCAAGAGACTCCCCAAAGCAAAGTGAGGAAGAGCTGGCAGGGAAGACACTTAGGAGTCGACCTACTTGAGTTGTTTAGAAGAATCATCCGACGACCATGCCCTGGCATTTTCAAATTTCCTTCGGGAACAAGCAGCGTCCACGTTCCTTCCTTGCTATGCCCCTCACTGAGAGTGGCTGCCCTGCCACTGTCACAGCATTTCATCCATCCCCTGCATGAGCTGCCTGCATCACCACAGCTGTTGGAGTCCTGGCCTCACGTGATCAATGGTTGTGGCTGGATGCAACTGACCCATGACTACCTCTGCCTAAGACGCGGTTCTTGCCCAGCTGTATATGGGCACTGGTCTTAGCTCCCCGCAACACCATGGGTTTGTGAAGTTCCCTATCACTTCAGGCTAAAAGCCAGGAGAGGGAGCTTCTTCAGCTTGAGGTGGCCCAGGACAGTGCCCACTACAGCATCCCTGGTGTGCCCATCCACTCCTGGGTGGCATCAAAGCACTGGCCTCCTCCAAATGCAGAAGTAACCAAGCCTCAGTAGTCAGAGCCCTTGATCTGGACACTCACCAGCACCACAGTGTCAGTCCCATTTCCTAAGGTCTTGGAGTGGCCCAGCAAGCCTGACTCTCTAGTCTGCTCATAGAGATGGACACTTTAAACAACTGAGAATTCTCCATCTTCAGTATGCTGCCCTACCCTAACTGTGCTACAGCCTTTCCTGAGACATCCACCACAGTCCACAACCAGGAATTTGAGAGAGGGCCCAGAAGGAATGAGGAAAGCAAGGGAAAGAGCTACATTGAGAGCCAAAGACCTGAAACAAAACAACAGCTTTCAGCAGGGTCTGAGAATCAGACTCATCCTGGTCCCTCACAAGAAGTCAGAACAGTGACTCTGAAGGGATCCAGGGGCCCTTGTCTTGTAGAGACAGAGGGTCAAAGATGGTCATCCCTAACAGCATTCTTCCACAGGAACAGAGTCTTAAGATGCTGACAAGTGAGCCAGGTGGTGGTGGCGCATGCCTTTAATCCCAGCACTCGGGAGGCAGAGGTAGGCAGATCTCTGTGAGTTCGAGGCCGGGATGGACCGACAGCCTCCAAAACAATACAGAGAAACCCTGTCTCGTAAAACAAAAAAAAAAAAAACAAAAAAACAAACAAAAACAAAAAAACAAAAAAAAAGATGCTGACAAGTGTCTCAAGGCCCATCATCTGAATAGGCATTCTTTCCCTCAAAGGATCTCCAGACACTGGACCAAAGGACCAATCCAGGACTGGAGATCACAGCTTCCAAAAAGGTCTTCCAGAGACACCCTCCAAAGATGGGACAGCTTCAAGAGATCTGGTGCCGGGCCGTGGGTACCAGGAACAGGTTTCAAGGGCAACTGCTGAGGAACATCTCCCTCCCCTCAGGAGGACCTCCTAGGGCAACTTTGGTGAGAGTGCCACACTCTGCAAAGGATCTTCTAGCCTGGAGCCTATGGTTACAGGTAAAGGTGCCCACCAGGCCCTGGAGGACAAACTTTCAGAAAGACTTTCTTTTTGAAGGGACTTCAGGAGTGGGCCGACCTCATCTGAGGCCAATGGTTACAAGCAAAGACCAGGATAGGGGGAAGACTCACCAGCGTGATGTCCCAGGAAATCCCTAGAGGGATGATGGGCATAGTCTCAGGAAGGCCAGCCAGGAGAGACAGGAGGGAGAAAGGGAGGATGCCCTATAGGAGCTGTCTGGGAGACCTCTGGATTTCAGCAGACGATTGCCCTGGCCAGAAACCACAGCCTCGGGGGCTTATTGAAGACCTTTAATGTTCTTAAGGCACAAAAGTAGTGTTTTTATAACTCAGTCTGCCTATGGGAAAGCTCGGCTTCCTCAGGTCACCGTGGAATTCTGAACAGGTCTTGTGAGATTTTTCACGATTAACCAGTGTGACTGGGTCACCCCAGACTGTGGGATCCCACCACTCCATCCTCAGCTTTCTTTTCTCCTTTTTTTTTGACTGTTTTCTTGTGGCCTCCTTATTGTTGTCATCTTGAGCAAGTACTTTTCCTCTGTGTACTCCCGGGCCTGACCTCAGATGATGGTCTTTGGTTGGCAGCTCCAAGGCCTGGGCCCTTCTCTTGTCCAGCAGACTTGTTCCTTCCCCAGGCACTAGGCCAAGCTCCCTCAGTTTTCTCTGGAGGAATGCCTTTTCTCTGGAGAACTGGTACTGAGCCTCCCTTTCCTTAGCTCTCTTATCCTTAGCTTTCTCCTTCTTTGACATCTGTACCTCTTCCTCCTGGCTCCCCTCCAAACTGTATGTGTACAGCATTTCCTGCACTGGTGACCTTGATTTCAGGTGTATCTTTCTTCCCTCCAGGACATGGCCTTCAAAATTATCAGTTAGTTTGGGGTATTGAGACACTATTTGTAGGCCTCTCCTAGGTGATACAATGCCGTATCTCATGATTATGTCCTTCCATAAGTCCTTATGGCCCTGACCTTGTGGGCTTTGAGGTTTTTCTCCTCGGTCATTCACCTGATGAGGGAAGGCCAGCATCATCCCTTTCCCCTGCATCTCTATTGGTGTTGTTGCCTCAAGGTCTTTCTCTGTCCATGCCTCCTTTGGATTTGTAAGGGATCCTCTTCTGGTCCCTAACTTTGGATGTTTAGCAAAGCCACTTTGTAACATCCCTGCGATGAGTGATGAGGAAGCCCCCTCAAGGGCAGGGTCCCAGCACTCAGCAGCAGAGCTTGCATATAATGGGTACTGTTCTCCTCTCTTTGGTTTCTGGAATAGGGGAAGTGACTTTGCTTGGCTAGCCCACAGAGCACCCAAACTAATATTCTTGGATTGGGAGCTCCAGGTGTTTTTTACTTCCTGAGCAGCAAGATGTGCCCTAGTGCTTGGCCAATATGCAGGGCTGCTCAGTACTCGGGTGCTCTCCGTGGTATCTGGTCTTCTGTGTGAGCCAAGCTCTTGGCTATTCATTTTCCTTCTCATACTGCTGGGGACTAGGGCTCTGTCACTGATCAATCCCACACTAACTCTCTACAAGATATCCCTGGCACGATCTGTCTACAAGATAAATACACTGCAAAGTTCACCAGCCTCTGCCGCCAACACTTACTGTTGCCCTGGGTTTGGAGAAAATGAACTCTCCGGAGAGTCACAACTTTAGCTGCCCTTACCTGTCTATGATGTAGTGGGCGGGGCTAAAGGAAAGATGGCTGTGACCTGGACTGACCTCCATGTGCAGGGAAGCCTGGGCCCCGTGTCTTTTGGTGTTAGGGACACCTGTGTCTAGAAAGATATGGTGTATAAAGAACATATGGGTAGTTTGGCCAGGGAGAAGTGAGTGCCAGAAGACTGATCATTGGGTGAGAGGGAGGGAGTTCTCTGACTGTAGGGCTACCAGCTCAGAGCTTGTGACTCTAAGACTTCTACTGGAAGGACCAGCTAGCCCTGAGTATAAAAGTGCTTGTCATGTAAGCCTGAAAACCTGACTTAGTTCTCAAGAACTCTCAGAGGTAGGCAAAAACAAACACTTGAAAGTTGTTCTTTGACCTTCACATGTGTGTCATGTGTGTTATGAACTCTTTGCTCTTGTTACTCATTCTCTCTCTCCTCTCCCTCTCTCTCTCTCTCTCCTGGAACTCACTCTGTAGACCAGGCTGGTCTCAAACTCACAGAGAGCCTCCTGCCTCTGCCTCCCAACTGCTGGCATTATAGGCATGTGCCATCACCACCTGGCACTCCTGTATTCTCATATTTGTCCCCTATAATAATAATAATAAATAAATAAGACAAAATAACACTGATGACAACTGTGTGGAACTAAGCCTAGAGAAAGAGACACATTTTGGGTGTCAGCTATTCCTAGCTTGCTGACTCCAAAGGTACAGGAAAAGCTTAAAGGACTCCTGGAAGCTGTTAGAATCATGTCTTTGGCAGGATGTTCTCATAGGTTTCCACTTGGGTTAGCACCATCTGTTTTCCTTTCTCTGGTGAAGCAGAATGGAGAAGAGCATTTGAAGATGTTTTAGAATCAAGAACATGTCCCCCATATAAGTTTCTCTCTCATTGGTTTTGTACCTCGTGTCCTTTGGGTTCCTTTTGAGCTGTTCTGGTGCCATCTGATGGTCAGCATCATCTCTGAGTGCTCTGAGGCATTCCATTCTGTAGAACTAGTTTTGAGATGTCAGGCCATTTGAATGACATGCTCTAAGCTATCAGGCTGTCTTCTGTGACAAGAAAGGCTTTCTGGGTTCAGTTCAGTCATTGGGGTTAAACCAACTGAGACAAAAGAACATGAGTGTCAAGTAGATTTCTGGTGTAATTAATGTAACCATGAAAATATGGAGTCTTGGCCTCATGGAGGTGGTGGCACACTCCTTTATTCCCAGCACTCGGGAGGCAGAGACAGGTGGAACTCTGTGAGTTTGAGGCCACTTGGTCTACAAAGCTAGTTCCAGGACAGCCAAAGCTACATAGTGAGACCCTGTCTCAAAATAAACAAAAATATGGAGCCTTGGGGCTGGAAAGATGGCTAAGACTGTGGCTCATGGGTTAAGACTAGTCTATCTAAGCCGGGCGTTGGTGGCACACGCCTTTAATCCCAGCACTCGGGAGGCAGAGGCAGGCGGATCTCTGTGAGTTCAAGGCCAGGCTGGACCGACAGCCTCCAAAACAGAGAAACCCTGTCTCGTAAAACCAAAAAAAAAAAAAAAAAAAAAAGACTAGTCTATCTAAAATGGCAACTAGTTGAAATGTTAACCTGGAGCTAGTTTCCTCCTGAAATTGATGAGCCTGACATTCAAATATATGTTCTAGAAACTCAGGCTAACAAGACCAACCCTTTTATAGGATTTCCAAAAAAGATTACCTAAAACTTGATGGTGAAATTGTTCATAATATCCTTTTATCAAATTCTCAAAGACCTTGTATACTGTCAAAATGTCTATTTCAAATTTAATTCTAGGGCCACTCTATGTGGAGATGAGGCAGGCAAGCCAGCACTGTTACTTCAGGACTGATGAAGGCAACATGGAAATAAAGAGACCAGCCCGCACAGAGCAGATGGCCATCTCATCTGAACAGTGAAGGGCAGTGGTCTCTGCACAGAGTGGATACTGTGTGCCATGGCACAGTCAGCTTGAGAGTCTTAGGGGTCAGAAAAGGCAACTTTGGGGATGGAAGATTCCATGTACAGGTCTGATCTCCTTCGTCTCAAAGTAGTAAATACCAAAGGATGTTAGTATATTGACCTTTTGTCAGAAGCTTCCTGGACCCTAACCTCAAGTCAACTTTCCTGTCATGAGTTCCTCAGCCCACCTGAGGTTTTGGTCTACTTAGCCTTTTGAACATAATAATTGTTTTAGCAACTTGGAACTGCATTTGACTAATGCTATAGTTTTCAACCTGGGACTGCACTTGCCTAGTGCTATAGTTTTTATACCTCTCCCTCCCCCCCCCCCCCAAAAATGCCTATCAACCTGTTAGCAATACAGGAACCATGACCAACACTAACTGTGCTTAGAATTGCACTAAACTGAGCAATTGATTTTTCCTCTTAGTATCTTATAGACAACTGGGAACTGTGCAAAATGGGCTGACCTGGCCTAGACTGGTTTCAGGTGGATGCATAATAAGGCAAATTGTGTCCTCTAAGTGAATAGTTTTGGAGAGTCCCTTATCCATGATGATATCCCTATGCATAATTTTCATGCATGTATAAGTCATGTAACTTAATATTTCAACCAAAATAAAACCTGCTACAATGCCCCTTTAGCAACTGTATTAGTCAGTGTTCTCTAGAGTCACAGAACGATCTGTGTGTGTGGGGGGGGGGAGGTTTATTGGAATAATTTGCAGGCTGCAGTCCAACATGGCTAGCTGTGAATGGAGAGTCCAAGCATCTAGTACTTGCTTAGTCCCACAAGGCTGGGTGCCTCAGCTGTTCTCCTGTATCTGCTGGAATCCTGAAGAGTAGGCTGCAGTGCCAGACAAGGAAAGGATGTGCTGACAAGATGAGGGCAGGCAGAATGAACACACCCTTTCTTCTTCCATTGTCCTCCCAGAAGAGGGTGTGGCCCAGATTAAAGGTGTGCCTTACAGCCTCAAGATCCCAATCAAAGGCATGTGTCTTCTTGCCTTAAGGTCCAGACCCCAAGTGTGCCTTCCATTTCTGTTTTTGGTTGTGAGCATAGCCTTTAACGGCTGAGCCATCTCTCCAGCCCTACCCTCCATTTCTAGATTATAGTTCATTCCAGGCATAGTGAAGTTGACAACCAGGAACAGCCATCACAGAAACCAGACTTCCTGGAACCCCATAAAGGAAGCCACAAACAATAATCTGAGTTTTTTGAGCATTTCATTCATTCAACTCGGGCAGCCTGAGACCTTTTTCTTCAAAGATTATTTTTCTGTATGTGTGTGATCATGTCACATATGTGCAGGACCCAAAGAGGCCAAAAAGAGGTGCGGGAGCCCCTGGAGCTGCAGTTCCAGGCATTGAAGGCCCCCTGGCATGGGTATTGGGAACTGAACTCAGGTCCTCTGGAAGAACAGCAGGTGCTCTTAACTCTGAGCCATCTCTCCAGCTCTCCCTACCCCCATATTAATCATGACAGTGTATTCCTTTCTGATCAGTACTGCCACTCACTTTGCTTTGAATAAAGTTTGAATAAAGTGCTTTGGCTACATTGTAATCTCCATGTGCTTATTCCAATTCTTTGGGGGAGACATGGGGGAACCGGAGATCACCCACCTGAGATAGACTCTGAAAAGTGGTAACTTTTCTTTTCCTTTCTTCCATTTTCTTCTCTCGGTTTCTTTTTTGGCCAAACAAGGCTTCATGTGAGAAAATACGTTTTTCCTATCTTACTGCTAAAAATTTCCCTCAGTACTTTCTGATCATTTTTCATTCTGACGCCTGTGACTGACAGCCAGCTATCTAGCCATTTGATTGGAGAGCTCTCAGGATGCAGCCTCGCCCTTCCCTGACCTGGCCCATGAATAGCAGAGGCTACACATGTAAAACCAGACAGATGCCAGGAGCCAACTCCTTGGGAAAAGCAGGTAGCTGCAGCTCTGCTAGCTGCTTCTGTGACAAAGATGACAACGAATAGGAAGCAACAGATGCCCCTCCTCAGCCTGCAATCTTAATTATCCTCACCTTCTTTCAAAAATATTTTTTATTACATCTATTTATGCATGTCTGTGAATATGTGTGGTCAGAGGAAAACTTCCAGGACTCAGTTTTCTTCTTCTACTGTGTGGGACCTGGAATTGAACTCAGGTCTTTAGGCTTTACCTGCTGAGCCATCTCATCAACCCAGTCCCTACCTTCTTTTAACAGTGTTACCACTGTCTGGACCAGAACCAAACTTTGAAGCCACATGAATTTTAAATTAAAAATAAAATGCTGGAAATGGTGGCACTCAGCTTTAATCTCAGCACTTGGGAGGCAGAATCAGTGGATCTCTTTGAGTTTGAGGTCAGCCTGGTCTAAATAGTGAATGCCAGGCCAGCCAGGGCTTCATAGAGAGACTATGGCAGTTTAAATAAGAATGCTACCCTTAGGTTCATATATTTGAATTCCTTATCATCAGGGAGTAGCACTACTTGAGAGAGATTAGGAGATGTGACCTTGTTGGAATAGGTATGGCCTTATTGCCTCAAGGAAGTGTGTCACTGGAGGTGGGCTTTAAGGTTTCAAAAGCTCAAGCCAGACCCAGTGCCTCTCTCTTCCTGCTGCCTAAGGATCCAGATGTAGCACTCTCAGCTACTTCTCCAGCACTTTGTCAGCCTGTGTGCTGCCCTGCTATCCACCATGATGACAATGGACTACACCTCTGAAGCAGTAAGCAAGACCCAATTAAATGTTTTCCTTTATAAGAGTTGCACTTGTCATCGTGTTTTTTTCACAGCAACAGACTAAGACAGAGACCCTATCTCAAACAAAACTTTTGTCTACCATTGATTAGCAGGTATGGATGAGACAATTAAAAGCCAATAAGGCTTCCTCAGCTAAAATGCTTACAGGATAATTGTGCTGTTGAACTGGGAGAATTAGGTGCTTCTTGGAATAAGACAAACTTACACTTCTGTCAGCTCAATGTTTGTACAATTGATGTGAATTATTTATGTCTTCTGTCCTGAGGCTTAACCTCATGTGATCTGTTTAAGCATCTCACTACTAAACTTAAGGAACCTCATCTTCCCTAACTACTATATAGATTCAAGAGTACAGAAACCTGTACTTTCTGTAATATAAACTGATAATTCCACCTCTTCATTAGATCAAACTAATGTAACATATTATGGATTGTCCCTACCCGATTTTCTACACAGATCCTGCAGAGGAAGGCACTATTAAGTTATCTCTGGACTGGGCAGTGGTAGGATGTGCCTTCAATCCCAGCACCCAGGAGGAAGAGGCAGACAGATCCCTGTGAGTTCAAGACCATCATGGTCTATAAAGCGAGTTCAGGACAGGCTCCAAAGCTACACAGAGAAACCCTGTCTCAAAACAAACAAAAAGAACAGACCAGTGCATACTATTGCCTCTTCGTGCAAGAGTTAATAAAGGGCTGAGATGGCTCAGAAGTTAAGAGCACTGACTGTTCTTCCAAAGGACCTGGGTTGGATTCCCAACACCACACGGTAATTCACAACCAACTCTGGTCCCAGGGATCCCATCGCCCTCTTCTGGCCTCTTTAGCAGTATGTCCAGTTCTTGCCAGACGAGTCATTCTCACGGTAAAAGCAGAGGCAGCTGGACTCACTGTTTTGGGAGGAATGAGTCTGCTGGACAAGAGAAAGACCCAGGCCTTGGAGCTGCCAACCAAAGACCATCATCTGAGGTCAGGCCTGAGGAGTTGAACCACTTGGGTTGTTGAAAAGAACTACATTGATTGCCACTCATGGGTATTTAATTTTTTCCTTCTAGAACAAGCTGTGTTGTCTACAGCCATTCCTCAGCCATGACCTCTTTGACACCAATTGTTTGTGTGGCTCCCAGTTCATCTGCCCCAAGGGGGCTTCTCAGTCCTCAAGCAACCCTGCAACTGTTGTCTCTGTGACATGCCCCCACAATGCCCATCACTATGGGTGTCTTCTTGGGAACCTAGGCTTCACCTCCACACTGTGGCACTGGGTGGAGTAACTCTGGACACACTAGCAATCTAAGTCACACTTCTAGCCCGATGTGTGAGTGATAACCTCTGACTTCTGCACCACACTGAGCTTGAAGTGATCAATGGGGTTGCCCCCCAAAAAAAATCCCAACAGAGCTCACAGGCTGCTGTGGTACCATGTGACCTTATGCTGCCTCCCCCTTGCTGAGGGTGCCTTGCCTGTAAGCCTTCACCACATGGAGTAGGCCACCAAGTCTCAGCAGCCAGTGTACTTGGTCTGGAGACTCACAGGCATTAGACTCTGTCCCAATCCCAAAGACCTCAGAGTGACCAAGCAGGCCGGACTCTCTAATCTGCACATTGAGGTCAATCTGGGGGTTTATCCGAAGGGCCTGGCTTTGTCCCTACACTAAAAATGGCCATTTTGCCCTTAGCATTCCCTGGTGCCTCCTAATAGCTCATGGCCAGCCTTTGCTGTGGAATCCACCACAAACCACAGTGAGAATTTGAGAGAAGGCCCAGAAGGAATGAGGAAAGCAAGGGGAAGAGGTGCCAGCTACATTGAGAGCCAAAGACCTGAAACAAAACAACAGCTTTCAGCAGGGTCTGAGAATCAGACTCATCCTGGTCCCTCACAAGAAGTCAGAACAGTGACTCTGAAGGGATCCAGGGGCCCTTGTCTTGTAGAGACAGAGGGTCAAAGATGGTCATCCCTAACAGCATTCTTCCACAGGAACAGAGTCTTAAGATGCTGAAAAGTGTCTCAAGGCCCATCATCTGAATAGGCATTCTTTCCCTCAAAGGATCTCCAGACACTGGACCAAAGGACCAATCCAGGACTGGAGATCACAGCTTCCAAAAAGGTCTTCCAGAGACACCCTCCAAAGATGGGACAGCTTCAAGAGATCTGGTGCCGGGCCGTGGGTACCAGGAACAGGTTTCAAGGGCAACTGCTGAGGAACATCTCCCTCCCCTCAGGAGGACCTCCTAGGGCAACTTTGGTGAGAGTGCCACACTCTGCAAAGGATCTTCTAGCCTGGAGCCTATGGTTACAGGTAAAGGTGCCCACCAGGCCCTGGAGGACAAACTTTCAGAAAGACTTTCTTTTTGAAGGGACTTCAGGAGTGGGCCGACCTCATCTGAGGCCAATGGTTACAAGCAAAGACCAGGATAGGGGGAAGACTCACCAGCGTGATGTCCCAGGAAATCCCTAGAGGGATGATGGGCATAGTCTCAGGAAGGCCAGCCAGGAGAGACAGGAGGGAGAAAGGGAGGATGCCCTATAGGAGCTGTCTGGGAGACCTCTGGATTTCAGCAGACGATTGCCCTGGCCAGAAACCACAGCCTCGGGGGCTTATTGAAGACCTTTAATGTTCTTGAGGCACAAAAGCAGGGTTTCAATAATTCGATCTGCCAATGGGGAAACTCAACTTCCTCAGGCCACTGTGGAATTCTGAACAGGTCTTGTGAGGAGATTTTTCACGATTAGCCAGTGTGACTGGGTCACCCCAGACTGTGGGATCCCACCACTCCATCCTCAGCTTTCTTTTCTCCTTTTTTGACGGTTTTCTTGTGGCCTCCTCATTGTTGTCATCATAATCCCATGGTTGTAGATTCCTTTTGTGCGCTCTGGAACTTGACCTCAGATGATGGTCTTTGGTTGACATCTCCAAGGACTGGGTCTTTCTCTTCTCCAGCAGATTCATTCCTCCCAAAAACAGTGAGCCCAGCTGCCTCTGCTTTTGCCCCATTAATGACTTGTCTGGTAGAAACTGGAACCAGGCTCCCCTCTCTGCAACTCTCTTGTTCTTCATCTTCTCCTGCTTTACTGTCTGTATTTCCTCTTCATGTCTCCTTCCCAATCTGTAAATTGGTAATGTTGCCTGCAGCAGCTGCTTTTTCTGGGGCTGTATCTTTCTTCCCTCCAGGCCATGTTCTTTAAAAATTTCAACTTTGGGGTACTGGGGCACCACTTTGGGCCTCCTCCTTGGTGACACACTGCCATCTCCTATGAGTATGTCCTTCCATAAGTCCTCATGACTCTGTACTGGAGGGCTTTGAGGTTTTTCTTCTTGTGTATTCACCTGATTAGAGAAGATCCTTGTCCTTCCTTTTCCCTGGGTCTCTATTGGTGGCATTGCCTCGAGACTTTTCTTTGGCCATACCCTATATGATGTCTTTATAAAGGCGCTTTCCTGGATCTCTGGCTCCAGATGTGCACTACAGCTCTTCTGCAATATCTCTATGGTGACCAATGAGGGGGGGCCTTTAGTATCAGAGGCCCAGCTCTTGCCAGCTGAGCCTCTAAGTAGAGGGTGATGTCCTGGTTTCCCCAGTTGCTGTAAAAAGTCAACCAACTCTACCTGATGAGATCCCATACCAGCCAACACCCTGCTGTGGCCTGGCATAGTGTTGAGGAGTTTCACAGCCTGTGGTGCAAAATGAGCCCTCGTAACTGGTCCTGAGACTTGACTGCCCAATCTTTGGAGGCTCACAGTGACATACAGTCTTCTGGGTGGGTTAAAGTCTTGCCAATTCATTTTTCCCTCTCACACTTCTGGGGGTTAGGG